GTAGCTGTGAGATTTGGCTCCCGTCTGGGTGGCGTGTGCCCCGGGGCCTCTTTTTCTGTTCCTTGAAAATCTGAGTCAGTTAAGACAAATGTGGGACTTAAACTTTGGAGAATAGCTTCTTCTGTATGAGATGTAGGCTGGTGTTTTTTGATGTAGTTCAGTGTTCTCTGTCTCTTTGAACTTTTGCTTTCCCTTCCATGACTGCTAGGCCCCTGGAGGTAGGGTTCCTGTGCTTTGGGCAGATTCTTGACACAGCCTAGGGATAGGAGTTACCTTAAGACAGTGGGGTTGGTGATAAAGGAGGTACATTTGGGCAGGAAGAGCTATACCTACTTGAGAGCTTGAGTGCATGGCAGCTTCCACAAGAAGAGCTTTGTGGCTGGAGGCTGGCACCTTGTTTCTGCATCTGGTGTCATGTTTCTTTTTCTTTTCTTTTCTTTCTTTTTTTTGGGGGGGAATTGAACTCAGGCCCTTGCGCTTGCCAGGCAAGCGCTTATCCTACTGAGCCATCTCCCTGGCCCTGATGCCATGTTTCTTAGTCTGGCTTTCAGCAAAGGACTCCCAGTTGATGCTTGCTTTTTTTCCTGTCACATCACAGGACTCTGGCCAGAATCCATCTCATTTCACTATGTTCTTATCTCCCACTTGACTCTTCATCTCTGGCTTGCCTGAACTTTTTGGCTTTTTGAGGTCTCTCCCTGTGTGGTCTTGACCTAGGAATTTTTGTCTTCTATCATGTTTTCTTGGGGGCCTGCTGGTTAGCTCAGTTGTTTTAAGTGCCTGCTCATGCAAATGCAGTCAGGCACAGGATACTGCAATTCAATCCCACCTCCACCTGCATTACCAGACCCGCTCTTAAGGCAGCCTGAGCCAGCCAAAAAAACCCAAAAATCATTATCATGTTTTCTTTTCTTTTTTTTTTTTAATGTATTTTCTTTTTCTTTTTTTTTTTTTTTTAAACTATTTATTTATTTATTTATGTGTGTGTGTGTGTTTGTGGCCAGCTCAGCCCACCAGAGGGCGCGGCTGGCTGGCATGTGGTGCTGGGGGATTGAACCGTGGTCCCTTTGCTTTGCTAAGCTTTTTCAAATAGGTGCTTTAGACCACTGAGCCATCTCACCAGCCCCATCATGTTTTCTTTTGTACTGAGTATTGAACTCATGACCTTGTCCTTGCCAGGCAGGCATTTAAGCTGTTGAGCTGTCTCCCTAGCCCTGCATGTTTCTTTAACCAGGTTCTCAAGACTAAGAACCTAGCTCTATGATCTATTCTTCCACCCTTTGCCTATTGATTGATCCATCTGCTGATACAGAAGATATTCACTAAAACCTTCTTTTTGCTAGTTGATAGGAACTTGCTAGTTTTTAACTGGGCTTTGCTGAGAAGGCTTGTGTAGGAAGGAACCTTGATGACTGCTGGGGTTAGGGAAGGACGTAGGGTTTGGGCCTGTAAACAAGCCTCAGAACTACTGGATTAGAATCATCTCTCCCCTGCTGCATGAATGCTTCTGGTATGTTCCTGCTTTCCTATCCATGGGCCTTAGTGGGAGCAGACCAACAGAGCTGAAGTGTGTCCTCTTACCTGGCAGGTAAAAGCAGCCATCACATATGCCCTTAGTGTGGGCTACCGCCACATTGACTGTGCTGCTGCCTACGGCAATGAGCCTGAGATTGGGGAAGCCCTGAAGGAAAACGTGGGACCAGGCAAGGTGAGAATGGGCTGTGGAGAGCATGGAGTGAGAAAACTTAGAGGCTGGGGCTGGGGCCTGGCCGAGGAACCTGGCATCAGCTTACTTCTAGTTCCTGTCGCAGAATGAAGGGTGACGAGGCTGGGTGCCCTGGCTCCTCTCACTATGGGCTTTGCCCTTACACTAGGTGGTGCCTCGGGAGGAAGTGTTTGTGACATCCAAGCTGTGGAACACAAAGCACCACCCTGAGGATGTGGAACCTGCCCTCAGGAAGACATTGGCTGACCTCCAACTGGAGTATTTGGATCTGTATCTGATGCACTGGCCCTATGCCTTTGAGTGAGCTTTGCTAATATGTGATCTGAAACTGGAGTTGGGTACAGTACTGGTAAAAATTTATTACAAGTCACAGCAATAAAACAGGATGGGAACACTCATTGCGAGGCAAGCTGAGGCCCTTGATAGCAGCTATGGTTTAGCGTTGGAAGAACAACACAAGATTACCCTAGAGGTACATAAGTGGTGCCTCCCCCCTCCATTATTCACTCAGGAAATGCACTGACTCTTCTGCTGAGCCAGGCCCTGAGGAGTCCCAGCAAAGAGTGTGAGGAGTCTCCCATTGTAGTGAACCCTGTGTTGAATGGCAGAGAACTCCCTGAGGGGGCGGAAGTTCAGGAGGACTTCCTAGAGGAGAGGAGATGTAATCTGGGCCTAGGGAAGAGAGGAGTGGGACTGGGCTTTTTTTTTTTTGGTGGAACCGGGAGTTGAATTCCGGCCCTTGCACTTGCCAGGGAAGTGCTTATCCCACTGAGCCATCTCCCCATCCCTGGGACTGGACATTCTATGTAGACTTAAAACTTGGGATACAATCTAGAAGACAGGAAAGGTATAACCATTTCTAATTCTTCGTACTTTGCCCTCTGTGGGCTCGTGATCTGAAATATACTGGGGGTGGGGGGGTTGTCATGTCTCACTCAGGCGGGGAGACAATCCCTTCCCCAAGAATGCTGATGGGACTATGCGCTATGATTCTACCCACTACAAGGAGACATGGAAGGCTCTAGAAGCCCTGGTGGCAAAGGGGCTGGTCCGAGCGCTGGGCCTGTCCAACTTCAACAGTCGGCAGATTGATGATGTACTCAGTGTAGCCTCTGTGCGCCCAGCTGTCTTGCAGGTGAGCACTGAAAGCAGATTGATGGTTGGGGGTTGTGTGTCCACAGTATGAGTGAGTAGGTAGCAGAGCACCTTCATAGAGGGAGCTTGCTAGTTGCCAGAAGTGTTGGTGTGTAAACCTGCGTAAAGGTGGGTGTTGATACCCTTGGAGAAAAAAAAAAAAAAAAAAAAAAATTTTACCAGGGAAAATTGGTAAGAAATTTGGGGGGGAGGGCTGTCAGTGAGGGCTGGTCCTAGGAGGTGCCAGGCAAGCTAGTTGCACCACACCGTGGTAATAGCTTGTTTCTTGGTAGGTGGAAAGCCACCCATACCTCGCTCAGAATGAGCTGATTGCCCACTGCCAGGCACGTGGCCTGGAGGTGACTGCCTATAGCCCTTTGGGTTCCTCTGATCGTGCCTGGCGTCACCCTGATGAGCCTGTCCTGCTTGAGGAACCGTTGGTCTTGGCACTGGCTAAAAAGTATGGCCGATCTCCAGCTCAAATCTTGCTCAGGTGAGGGGCATTCTTGAGGAACAGGGCTCAGGTTGGGGAGGGCCCAGGCTGGGAAACTTGGGTTGCGGGATTTTCTGGCCCCATTGAGGATGTTGCCTTGTGATCTGCTGGGGAGACCTCTGAGGCTGGTTCGCTGTTCCATTGTGGTCTCCATGAGCTTAGAGAAGGCTGTGTGGAGGACCAGACAATGTTCCTGAATCCTGACTGATTCTTTTTTCTCATCCATCTTTACTCCTCCACCATAGGTGGCAAGTCCAGCGGAAAGTGATCTGTATCCCCAAAAGTGTCACCCCATCTCGTATCCTTCAGAACATCCAGGTACTTAATCATGTGTTCTGTCTCCCACTTACTGGGATGCATTCTGATGCTAGCTCTGACTGAGACAGCAGCAGTGTGAAACTCTAGCTTCCACTCACAAGGCTGCCTTTCTTGTCCCACAGGTGTTCGACTTCACCTTCAGCCCAGAGGAGGTGAAGCAGCTGGATGCCCTGAACAAAAACTGGCGCTACATTGTGCCAATGATTACGGTAAGGGTGCTCACCTCCTAGAGTTGGAACAGGGAATTTGGAATGAGATTCTGGCCCAGATGTGGCCTTAAGCTTGATAGTTGGTGGAAGAACAGGATATTTTTGGTGAACTGGCAGATGCAATGATCTGGATGCAATGATCTCTTTCTTTTTCTTTTTTGTGGGTACTGGGAATTGAACTCAGGACCTCAAGTTTGCCAGACAGGCCCTTACGCTGCTGACTGCTGAGCTATATCCCCACCCCAGTGACCTCTTTCTTGAGGTCAAAGAATTAGTATGGCTCAGGGATAAGGCATATAATCTTAGTCCCAGTCCTACGTGTGTGTGTGTGTGTGTGTGTGTGTGTGTGTGTGTGTGTGTGTCTTTTTAAGACAAGGCCTCACTGTGCAGTTCAGGTTGCCCTTAAGCTCACTTTGTAGTCCAGGCTAGTTTTTTTTTTTTTAATTAATTTATTTATTTTGTGTGTGTGTGGCCAGCTTAGCCCACCAGGGGGCGGGGCTGGCTGGCATGTGGTGCTGGGGGATTGAATGGTGGTGCATGTGCTTTGCTTAGTTTAGCTTGTTCTAAGTAGGTGCTTTAGACCACTGAGCCATCTCACCAGCCCTCCAGGCTAGTCTTGAACTCCCAAAGATTCTCCTAGCTCAGCATCTCCAGTGATAGGATCACAGATGTGCACCACACCACACCCAGCCCTTGCACATTTTATTTTTAGGCACTGAATTAAGTTGCACAGGTTGCCCTTAAATTTATGACCTACCTGTCTCAGCCTCCTAAATAGCTGAGACTACAGACATCTGCCACGCCCCCAGCATCAGAAGGTATTCCTGACCTTTTATTTATTTATTTTTTATTTTATTTTATTTTTTTTAATTCTAGGAATCAGACTCAAGACCTTGTGTTTGCCAAGCAGGCACTTAGGCCACCGAGCTATATCCCTGGCTCCTTGTGGCCTTTTTTTTTAGAAGTACTGCAGTGTAGTGTGCTATAGGCAAATAAATAGAACCTGGACCCTTAATGCCAGCGTAGAGTGCACCTTTAGGTGCAGGCATCTGTGTACCAGGCTTGGGTTTGGTGCTGGTCTCATTGATACTGTGGCCTCCTCTGAAGCTGGGGTGCCCATTGCCATGAACTATACATAGGTAAGGCTGTTCAGGAAAGTTTTGGGGAAATGCCCCAAGTCTTTGGAAAGTCAGCTCCTGTTAATGTAGTCATCTATCTGTCTTTCAGGTGGATGGGAAGAGGGTCCCAAGAGATGCAGGACACCCTCTGTATCCGTTCAATGACCCATACTGAAGAAACCGCAACTACTAGCTTGCCTTTCACCTCAAGCTGTGAGGTGCTGCCTGCTGCTCCCCAGTAAAGGGAGTTAATAAAGCCATTGGAGAATCCACGCTGCTTGATTGGTTTGGTTTGGCTTGGGTTGGAAGCTGTTTCCCTTAGAGTTGACAGGCCCAAGGCTGTTGGATATGATGCGCTCCCTGAGCCCCACTTCCTTGTCTTTCTGTGTCCTAGAGGGGCCTGCAGTCAGCAGAATACTTCAGGTAGCACCATCTAGTGGCAGCTTTTAACACTGATAGCTTTTTTTTTTTTTTTTTTTAACTGATGGCTTCTCTGCAGTTCTGTTAGCCAAGTACAGAGTATCTGTTGCCTCTAGGCAGTGATTGTACTGTGGCTTCAAAGCAAGCAATGTTGCAGGCCAAGGCCTCCAATGCTTGATCTGGTCAGTGCATAGATTTAGGAAGATGAAGAGCCAAAAAAATACATATTCAGAAGTTTTGAGATCACAGTTTGCAAATTATGAAAGGTGAGGGCAAGGGTGTTCCTGACATACTGACAGCAGGAATGTAAGGGTGACCTAAAAGCAAGGTCAGGCCCTATCTTTAGTACTTTCTAGTCCTATCACAGGCCACTGATTAGCAGGCTTAAGGAAGGATTTTGGCAGATAACAAAAGTGACTCTAAAGGCTGGCTACACAGGTTAGTTTCTCAGTCAAACCATTACTCTTAATTCAACTAGTATTTATGGGATAGATACAATGCTAGACCCTGGGGGTATAGCTAGCTATAAGACAACTCTACAGTCAATTTCAGAAGACAAAACTTGCTAGATAGCTCAACGGATTAAAGCACCTACTTCGGTAGATGCATGGGGTGGGGTTCACTCCTTGGCCGGCTGTGTGGTCCCTGCTCCCAGGGTGCACTGAGACAGTGATTGAGACTGGGCGTGGTGGTGTGCGCCTATAATCTTAGCTCTTGGAAGCTGAGAACAGGAAGGATCACTACCAGTCTGATCTGTGTAGTGAGACCCTGTATACCCTGTACTAAATACATAAAGAAAAAAACATGTTAAAAAAAAAAAACAAAAACCATAAACGACTAAAAGAGAAAGCAGGAGAAAAACATGAAAGTTACTCTAGTCTCTGCTTCTTCATGCTGCGCAACGTGGTCCTCTGCATAGCCTACCCTTAGTGGTAGCTGACCCTTTACTTCCAGTTCAGGTCTGCCATTACTACCACTTGCCATGTAATTCTGTTGCTCTGTTACATATCTTCACAATACAGTTTTCCATACTTAACAGGCAAGGAAGTATTAATTTGATAAGGCTGTGGTAACAGTACCACACAGAATGGTTTTTTTTTTTTTTTTTTTTTTT